ATGGAGTCGAGATAGTTGGAGATCAGTTCGGTGGGGCAGGAGCAGGCAGAGACAATGGGTCGACCAGGGCATTCAGGTTTGTGGATTTTGCATACACACCAACATTTTCCTAGCTACCATCACTTCTGAGGACAGGTCACCGGACCTGAAACATTGACTCTGATTCGCTTTCATGGACGCTGCTAGACCTGCAGCTCTTTTCCAGCAACTTCTGTTTTTGTGCCACTGAGCTTTCCAATTGGAGCGGGCGGCTCAGTACAACCTAAAGGGAACCTGGTGATCTAATTGGCTCCAGCCTCTTCGTTTTTCGAACAGAAAAATTTCCGACAGCCCTTCCCACACACAATGTAGTTCATTCTCGATTTCCGAAGAAATGAAACTGAAACTAACGACGAGAGAGATAACAAGCTATGTTTCGGGTCTTGACCTTTCAGAAATGGGGGAGGGGAAGGGGATTCTGAAATAAATAGGAGAGAGGGGGAGCGGATCAAGAAGAGTCCCTGGAATCTTGGGGGGGGAAAATTTGGACGTGGGGAAAAAAAGGTGGCATTTTATAACTTCTTTGCTAAACTGCAATTATAAAATTCTAGACACAGCCCGTTTTCGCCGGACAAAGCTAATATGAGTGCGTTATGTTCGATACGAACTGAATGAGCCGAAGCTTACAGGTATTAGGACACACCCCCTAACTTTGCTGTACATATTCTGCATTGCAGAGTGTGAGGAGATTGCTCCAGTTGAATGCGGCTACAGCTCAGATTGTAAGTGGACAACTGCAAACTGTATAAAGTAATATTTAACATATTTGCGAGAAATTTGAGTTAGAGATTTCACGCTGTACAGTTTGCATTTTAGCGATATTAACTTTCCACAATATATTTATAGATATATATGTGCGCTATATTCATAACATTTTAGGGCATCTTTCTTTGGTATAACCGGGTCCTTGAATTTGATAACTGGTGCTTTTTTTTTCTTTTATATCTAAAAGTGTTCTTATACACAACTGAATAATCGACACTGACTTGTCTCTGGCAGCTCTGAGTGTTGCTCAGTTCTGAGGAAGGGTCACTTGACCTGAAATCTTAACTATGACTTCTCTCCACAGGTGCTGCCAGACCCGCTGAGCTTTTCCAGCAATTTCTGTTTTTGTAACACTTGTTCCTTGCCCAGCTTCGGACACTTGCCAGTGATCTGTTCACCAGACTATGCTCCTGAGTCTAATCTCGATAGAGTAGCCGCTGAGGTGAACGTATCAGAGATTATGGAGAGTCTTAGTGAAACGTGGCTGCAGTAGCCAAGTTAGAATGAGTAGTGAGAAGATGGTAATATTTGCCATTGCAGAGCCCAGAAGAAAGTGAATTTTTCTTGGTAATGGCTCAAGACACTGACAGTAAAGTAGTGATCTCAGATTGCAGAGTGGAGCAACCCTGTAGTAACAAGAGTGATATTTAAAAGGAATAAAAGTTTCAAGTGACATTTTGCATCAAGAGATACACATGTAAAGGGGGTAAGAAAGAATATCAGGAAGATAGTAAGATCAAATCTTTCTGTAAAAATAATGAGGCTAATAGTGCTCACTGATATTTGAGCACAAATGATGCATCGAAGTTAGGTGCAGAGTAGATGCAGTGGTAAATTCAAATAACTTTGAGTTATGCCATTTCATTGTTAACTACCTGCCTCCTGAGTAAAATTCTGGTGAGCACGGTGAAGCTGCTGTATTCTCATGATGTAAAATGATGAGAGTGTGCATCACAGTGGAAGTGCATTTAGTTTTCATCAAGCAACCATTTCACTGCAAATTACTGTAGACAGAATTTGCAACTGAGCTTTTCTAATGAGAATTTGAACCAACTCTACATGTTCTCATAACTTTTTACTGGAGGATGTTATGATACAGCAGTCAAGATTTCTCTTGTTGCATATTTAATTGAGATTATTTCTTGTCTTGATCTATGCAGGCAAGTCGTATTGTCTTCTAGCTGTTACTAGAATCTGCATTTCCTGAATTAGTTACCTTCAAAAGTAGTAGAAAGATGCTTCATCTGTTCTACATTGCGTTGATCTTGTCTGCTTCATTCAGCACAGGTGAGAGGTAGATTTTATTTGATAATACTGATCGATTTCCATTAGTTGTGATATTATGCCTGACGCATTCATCATCTTCCTGAATCGTTTACTTGCTTTTTTTTTAAAGAAAAGGTTCTTTTCATTTGGGAACATGCAAGTAATAAAGGCATATTAAGTTCCTAAGAACAGAATGAGTAAAAAAGTCTGTAAATTCCAAATAGATAACTTAAACTTTGGATCTCAGATCTGCTACAGAAGAAGGTGAAGACAGGGCTAGTTTCTTACTTGGATTCCAGGAATCCACATAATCCACAGGAGGATAGAACTGTATCCTAGTTGCACAAATAGAACCAAATGGAGTAATGTTGGAAATTTCTTTGGCAGTGACATCAAGAAAGAATTGTTGAAGCTTCTTTTCTGTTGAAGAAAATGCATGTGGAAATTTTACCTGTTGACTTCAAGTTTAAGGTCATAGACAAATGTTTAGAATTTTTTAAGGTGATCAAAATGGAATAGCATCAAACATAATGTTGATGACAGGCAGAAATGATTGAATCAAGATGCAGGACTAATCTAATGGAACACACAGAATGAGATGCTATATCAAAGTTTCTAATCTGCCCAGAAAAGAATTGAATCATAGGACACAATTACCTAATTGGTATTATAACTTTTTCTTAAAAAAAAGCATGTGTACTATATTTTTAAAAACATTTGCTATAATTAACAGTGCAAATACTAAGTAATCCATTGATTGCAAAGTGCTTTGATTCATTGTGAGGATGTGATGAGATGTTTTATCAGTGCAAGTCGGTGCTTTCTGACTCAGAGGCCAGAGCGTTTTATGATATAGACAATGGATTTAAAAGACAAAACAAAAAAGAATGTTTTAACTCTTATTAATTGTATCCTTTTACAGGTTCAAGCTCAAGTGAGTCAGGTAATTCTGATTTCTGCTCAACTACATAACTTTGCTCAAAAACTCACCTTTCTCTGGTGTGGAAGCATAGAATCAATAGTGATTGTAAACTGCATTTATTATTTGTGTTACTGATAGGAATTTGTTGTTTACTCCTGTTATTTGATTTTTTTAGGTGGTGGTGGGTGAATTATTTTTCCACTTCTTTTCGTGCCAGTATCATTTACTGCATTGGGAAATTGTCACCTGGACACATGAGTTACTTTGGTAACTGTAGGCTAGAAAACAAAAATATCCAGTGTAATTTTTTTCTTAAAACTAGGTTATTCTAGCAACCAACTGTTGCCAAATCAAGTCAGCAAATCTGGCAGCATCAACGAAGAGGGAAGCAGAGATGATGCTTTGAATCAACTGCCTTGTACATTTGGTGTGTACACTTATGATATGATTATTGACATTTAACTTGACTGATTTCCTTTCTTACTGATTTTAGCTAAGAAATTTATGAAATGGTAGCCTGTCTCACTATTGAATACTGCTCTAATATTTGTGTTTTCCCCATGTGTTACAGATTGGTCAACAGCTGCCTGGATTGCAGGAGGAGCAGGTAAAGAAACAACCTGCATTCATACTCTCCCTTAACACCTTCTCACGATGTCCAAAGATGCTCTCTAAACAATAATCACTGCGGTTATGCCGAGATAATTTTTGTTTTATGATGTTTGTCGAGTGAAGGTGTTGGCCCAGGATATTGGGAGAGCTCCTTGATTTTATATTGTCCCCTGAAAAACAGCACTTCTGACAACTCCGCACACCTTCAGCATGACAGCACACATAAACCCACTTATGGAAGTGGTAAGGCGAGTATTGTTAATAAGGCAGGAAGTGATTAATCAAAGCTTAGAGGACAGTTAGAGCAAAAGAGTAGGCCTAATAACCAGAGGTCATTGATTTAAACATTAGTGGAAAAAGATCTTGAAAACAAGGAGAGATGATATTACTTTCATGAAACTGGAGTCTGGAACATACAACCTGAAAACTGACTCCAAAAACAGTGTTAGAAGAGAGATGAATAGATACTTATAGGTTATGGACATTAAGTGGGAATGAGGGACCATGTGTGACTATTCTTCCAAATTGCTTGAATGCCTTATGTCTTTCAATAATTTTATGTATAAATATTAACATGATGGCCTTGTTCCGTGTTGTAATTTGTAAATGCAAATGTGTGACATGATGATGAGCTCTTTAAAAACTGTGCATATTTTTAAGGTGAGAGGAGAAAGATTTAAAAAAAAAAGACACGAGGGCAAATTATTTTACGCAGAGGGTGGTACATGTGTGGAATGAACTTCCTGAGGAAGTGTTGGATGTGGGTCCAATTCCAATATTTAAAAGACATTCAGATAAGAACATGAATAGAAAGGCTTGGAGGGAATATGGGCAGGCGGGTGGAACTAGTTTAGTTTGAGATTATGTTCGGCATGGACTGGTTGGAGCGAAGGGTCTGTTTCCGTGCTGTATCACTCTATGACTGTGTGGTGCTGTATTGGAATTATGCTGCCATTACACAAAAGACTGTCTATATTCTTTCTGAATAGCTGCGAAGGGCATTGGACATGGGAAATCTTTTTGCTGGATTTGAAGCTGTGATCTCTTATTGACTGCCTTTGTTGTTCTATTTTGCAGTTGCTGCAGTGGTTGCTACCCCTGTTGTCGTTGCTGCAGCTGGTTTTACTGGTGCTGGAATAGCAGCTGGATCCTTAGCAGCACAAATGATGTCTGCGGCTGCAGTCGCTAATGGAGGAGGAGTAGCAGCAGGTGGTGTTGTAGCAACCCTCCAGTCTATTGGTATGACTTCAAACTGTTTTTTATTTTCTAAACCAAATTGAGGAATATAGTCATTGGTCCACCAGCTTTAATTCATCCCTCCAAATGTACAGGAAGTAAAGTGTTGTTGATTGGAGTCAGGGGCTGTCTGGTTTCTCAGGATGAAAGTAATCAGTCTCGAAAGGAGGAGTGAGTGAGAAAATGATTGCCAAATGTTTAATATTGAGTATCAAAAATGTCTAATAGGTGCCTTAATAATAACAGTCCGGTGTTCTTTAATTTGAAGTGAAACTCATCAATGAAACAATTCAAATAGGATCATTATTGTATTTATCTTGTAAAAATAACTTCTAAAACAATGTATTCATTTAAAAAAATGAACAGTTTTGCATCTGTTTAATTCCTTCAAATGAAAGGAGTGACATCTTCTTTATTAAGCAAGGGTATCAAGAGACAAGGCATGCATACAAAGTTAGGCCATAGTTCAACCATGATATTATTGAATGGCAGACCAGATTCAAGGGGTTGAATGGCCTACTCTTGTTCCTATCTTGTGTCAGCTGTACAGCAGCTTTTATGGTATCAATTTTGCAGGCCTGAGAATACGTTGCTTTACTGTACAGAGTAGTTATGGCACAGAATGATCTCTGTAGGTAGGGAGGCAAAGTTTAGAATGATATTGCTACATGTTGAATATTGTGAAGTTAAATGTAACTTTCTTTTGATTCATGCAGGAACTGCTGGACTCTCTGCTTATGGCACTGCTGTCGTAGGAAGTGTTGGTGCAGCTGCTGGCTGTGCTGCGAAAAGCACTCTTCAGGATTCTGAAGATGAGCTCTGAAGTTCACAAGCTGCTTTAAAGTAGACACTGAGCAGGAATTAGCCTGCTCATGAGGGTTTATTCATTCAGCAATGGAGTCAAAATCTGTTAGCTGTTAGTTTATTGTATAGACTAATAATTTGAATATATGAGTAATATTACTGAAAAAAAGTCAGGTTGTTGAAGCTTTCATTCTTGCATTTATCAGGACAATTTGGAAGAAATACCTTTGTAATGTGAAAACAGCATGTATACTATGAGAGGAAGATGCTGATTGGCAAGTGGACTCTTGGTTGGTAGAGGCATTGCTATGGAGAATGTACAAGTTAAATAAAGTTGTTTGACAAGTTTATCTAAATCTTGAGGGAGGCATATTAACTGTAGTTGAGGAATTGCCCTGAGTTAATTTGAAACTGTCGCCGTTTGTTTACATGAACATCCTGTCAGCAAAATAGGTATGACAATTCTCTGGTTCATTTCTCAGGGCAATGTTATGAACAGTCAATATGCTGGTTTAAATTAAAACAAACCTTGGTGGTTAACTGCTAATTATCATTAACTGGTGCATTTGTCTTGGCAATACTTCCACTGGAGTACACTTGACAACAATCCAAATGTTCTTATCTTTGTATATAAATATTGTTTTCCCCTTTTACGTTGGCATTTTTTACAAATTGGCTTAGCGAGAGCAAGTCAAGAAGCTTTAACAAAATGAGTTTAATATTACTAAAGTTTTCTACTAGCAAAGAACAATTATTTTCAATAATCCTCATTTTTTGGAACGGTTGGTTGCACCCCTTGTGCTACTCTTTAGATTCCCTGTTTATAAGCTTAATTCAATTGGGTTAAACATTCTACAGTGTTTTGAGCTGCACATGTTGTTGTTCTATAACTGGTCACTGCGTGAATGCAGACATTCAGTTTTGTCACTACATTTCATAGAAATAACACGTGTTTGTCAATGCTTTTGAATTGAACCCATCTGTTAACAATAAGGGTGGGAGTTGTATGCCTTTTTTAAACCTGTTTCCTTGATCAATCTGTTTTAATATCTCCTCTTTTTTGTGTGATGATCATATTCTTGTGAAACCACATGGTTTGCTTTGTTACATTAAAGGTGATACAGAAATACAAGTCACTGATGTCAATTTTTCATATGTTCCCTCTTTCCCTATCACATTGCCATAAAGCAGCGAGTTATAACTGGACTTTCCAGCATCACATATGAAATTTTTGTGAGAATGTGGGGCTATTTCATAAATAAAGCACGTATCACAAAACACAAGTCTCATGGTTGACATAGAAGCCTTGGAAACTCTATGTCTGCGATATCATTCTGTCAGAATGACTTGAGGTGGTATAACAAGTCAAGTCAAATCCAGAGTGAAACCTTACTTGATTGACCATATGTGTTTATTATTAATTATTTACCATGGTGGTCACTGTCTGAATAAATTTACAACAGGCTACTTAAGGTACTTTTAACAAAACAAAAGAGTTTATTGTATGCAGAAAGTAGAGAAACACCAACCATATTACACTTTACTATGCACAAATATTATTTGAAACGGCCTTAATACAAACATGAAAAACCTTTTTGAATCCTCAACAATGTTACAAACACTCAAACCTTAGTCAAGAGTTATTCTGTTTCCGCTTTAAAACTTCATGTTCAGTTGACGTGGCTGGAATTAGTTTCTGGAGCTTCTTTCTGACTTCTAAACACTTTCAGACCAAACACGTGGGTTATCTATATCCTTAATTTCAGTGAGATCAAGCTCCTGAGTCCGCTGTCATCTTGGCACTGATGCTGAGCACCGATGGCTAAAGTGATGGAATGAGCTGTTCATGCATCTCCAACAGCCACTTTGCATTATGCTGGACCTAGCTTTCTGTGGCAACTGCCAACCTGTGCATGGAGATATCCAGATGCACACACACCAGTGCCAGCAGAGTCACAGAGTTACACAGCACGGAGACAGACCGTTCGGTATAACTTGTCTGTGCAGACATCCTAATCTGACCTAGTTCCATTTGCCAGCATTTGGCCCATATTCCTCTAAACCCTTCCTTATTCCTCTAAACCCTTGCTTATTCATATACCTATCTAGATGCCTTTTAAATGTTGTAATTGTACCAGCTTCCACCACTTCCTCTGGCAGCTCATTCCATACACACACCACCCTCTGCGTGAAAAAGTTGCCCTTTAGGTCCTTTTGAAATCCTTCCCCTTTTACCTATGCTCTCTAGTTTTGGACTCCCCTACGCTCGGAAAAAGACCTTGGCTATTCACCCCGTCCATGTCCCTCAAGATTTTATAAACCTCTATAAGGTCACACATAAGCCTCCAACATTCCAGGGAGAAAGGTCCAAACCTATTCTGCCTTTCCCTATAATTCAAACCCTCCAGTCCCAGCAATGTCGTTGCCAATCTTTTCTGCATGCTCTTAAGTTTAACAACATCCTTCCTACAGAAGGTCAGAATTGTATGCAATATTCTAGAAGTGGCCTCACCAATGTCCTGTACAGCTGCTACATGATGTCCCAACTCTTTTACTCAATGCACTGATCATTAAGGGCACGAGTGCCAAATGTCTTTTTCACCACCCTGTCTACCTGCGACTCCACTTTCAAAGAATTATACACCTACACCCCTAGGTCTCTTTGTTTTTCAACACTCCTTAGGGCCCTACCATTAATTGTATAAGTCCTGCCCTGGTTTGTCTTACAAAAATGCAACATCTCACATTTGTCTAAAATAAACTCCATCTGCCATTTCTCAGCCCACTGCTCATTTGATCAAGGTCCCATTATACTCTAAGACCATCTTCCTCATTGTCCACTACACCACCTATTTTAGTGTCATTTGCAAACTTACTAACCATATCTCCTATATTCACACCCAAACCATTTATATAAATGATAAAAAGCACTGGACCCAGCACCAAACCTTGTGGCATACCACTGGTCACAGGCCTCCAGTCTGAAAAGCAACACTTTACCACCACCAATTTTGTATCCAACCGGCTAGCTCCCCCTGGATTCCATATGATCTAGTCTTCTACTTGTCAAATGCTTTGCTGAAGTCCAGATAGACAACTCCTACTGCTGTGCTTTCATCAATCATTTTTATCACCTCTTTAGAAAATTCAAATGTTAATAAGATACGATTTCCCATGCACAAAGCTATGTTCACTATCCTTATCCCTTTCCAAATGCATGTAAAACCCGTCCCTAGAAACCCCCCAAACAACTTACCCACACTGATGTAAGACTCACTGGTCTATAGTTCCCTGATACTTCCTTACCACCTTTCTTAAATTATGGCACCACCTTAGCCAACCTCCAGTCTTCTGGCACTTCACCCTTGTCTATCAATGATACAAGTATCTCAGCAACGGTCCCAGAAATCCCTTCTCTAGCTTCCCGCAAAATCTGAGAAACACCTGATCAGGTCCCAGAGATTTATATACCTTCATGAGTTTTAAGATTTCCAGTACCTCCTCTTCTGTAATATTAACTCTTTGCAAGATATCACTATTTATTTCCCTGAGTTCCCTTGCTTCTATGTCCTTCTCCACAGTAAATACCGAAGTGAAATATTGTTTAGTGTCACACCCATCTCCACATACTGATGGCCACATTGATCTTTAAGGATCCCCATTCTCTCCCTAATTATTCTTTGAATCTGTTTGAATTCTCCTTAATTCTAATGTCCTGTTTTTACTCTCCTGATTTCCCTCTTAAGTATACTCTTACTGTCCTTATACTTCTCTTGGGATTCACTCGATCCCAGTGGTCTATACCTGACATATGACTCCTTTTTTTTCTTGACCAGTGCCTCAACTTTTCTAGTCATCCAGCATTCGCCACACCTACTAACTTTGCCCTTCACACTAATAGGAAAATACTATCTCTGGACTCCCTTTATCTAATTTTTAAAGGCCTCCCACTTCCCAACTGTCTTTTTACCTGCGAATAGCCTCTCCCAATCAACCTTTGAAAGTTTCTGTCTAATACTGACAAAATTGGCCTTACTCTAATTTAGAACTTTAACTTTTAGATCAGGTCTATCCTTTTCCATAACTATTCGAAACTAATAGAATTGTGATCACTTGCCCCAAAGTGCTCCCCCACCGACACTTCAGTCACTTACCCTGCCTTATTTCCCAACAGAATGTCAGGTATTGTTCCTTCTCTAGTAGGTACATTTACATATTGAATAAGAAACCTTTCTTGTACACACTTAACAAATTCCTCCCCATTCAAACACTTAACACTATGACATTCCCACTCCATGCTTGGAAAGTTAAAATCCCCTACCATAACCACCCTATTATACC